GCCTCAGTGTCGGTGCTGTTTCTACGCAGGACCCATCCTCATGGCTTCTCTGACAATCCCTGAAGGGGGTGGAGACACGTGTCCCTCCTGCGCCTGCCCCCGTCCCCCCCAACCCCGTGTGTGCTCATCCCGCAGCAGCCACACAGGAGGCTCTGCTCACACCTCACACACCTGCCGTCCATGCTCAGGAGTGGGCCGAGCAGGGGGTTAACACCAGAACTCTGAATCCTGCCTCTAAAATTATTGAACTTCAAGGTGGGACTGGGGTGGGACCGTTATTGGGCTGCTAGCAGATTAAGTGTATCTTGGTGACATCTTAGGCTGGCAGAAGGGTGAGCTACCCCCGGAGCTATGCAACCCCAGCCTGGTAGGTCTCCACATGAGCCACATTCCAGGCATCCGTGTGGCCCTCCTCACCGGGTGAGGGCACGATGGTTAATTTAATTAACAAGCAGGGATCTGTCAGTCCCTGTGGCAGTACCACCAGTGGGGGCCAGAGTGGAGGGAAGGACATGAAGGAACCTGCAAGGGTCACTGATCTGTCCCCCGTAGCCCAGGACTTTCCAGATTCAGGATGAAAATCCCACGTTCCAGGGCCACACTCCCATCCCCACCACCAACTCCCAGGCAAACGGGGATGGACAGTCCCCCTACCAGGGAGGCAAGATGTTGAAAGAATAAAGAAATCAGGAGCCTAAGGGAATTGGGGTTTGTGGAGAAAGCGCTGGAAACCTGTGTTTAGCCAGGGATATACCCTGACCATTCTGTGATGCTGGAGGGTTGGGGACACGTAATTACATAGCATAGGAGATCACATCACGTCACATAATGTCACATAGTCTGGTGACATAATGACATAGTGGGGGCATCTCCAGCCAGAGAAGAGGGTGAGGTTACCCAGAGTGTGTTACATGGGACGAGAGCTTGGGAGCAAGTCTGCAAAGAGGAAAGGAGAGTGAGAAGCCTGTGCAGGAGATGCAGTGGGACAGAGAGGTGGCACAGAGCCAGGATCAAGGGGCAGCTCGGAAGCCGAGGGAGGAGATAGCAAGCCGGGGGAGGTCGTCAAAGAGCGGAGAAACTGAAAATCCGGGAGGGTTGGTCAGGGGGATGGGAAACTGGAACCTAATATTTGGCAATCTGGGAAGCGCTAATTAGAGATGGCAGCGATGAGGAGGAGGTGGATGGGGAAGCTGTGTATGGTGTTGGAACGGGAGCTGGCAGGCCGGCGTGGAAACCGTCTCCCCTCCCACCCCCGCTCGAGCCTCAGCTGTGCCTGCAGAGGAGGGGCCAGGCGATGAGGCAGGCAGCAGCCCGGGGGCCCTGTAGGCCCTGGCCTCTTCCAGCCAGGGGCACAGACCGGTGTGACCAGGGCGGGGCTGTGGGTTGCAGGGTGACCGCGTGGTCATGAGTCCCGAAGAGCTTCGGGTGGGAGCGCCATCAAAGGAGGCAGGTGGCGTGTCTGAACACCCAGAAGGAAGCATTATGTTTGCTTAGTTCCCTCCACCCGTGGGCCATCCTTCCCCCGCCGGGTGGGGCTTACAAACAGGGACACTAGAGGGGCCTGGAGGCCACTGTTCCTTTGGAGCTGGTGGATCTCACCGCACAGGCTGTCTGCTGCAGCTACATGGGGTGGTGCCGTCTCTCCTTGCTGGACTTGCTGGGCTCCAAGTCCCTGTGATGGAGGGTCCTGGCACGGAGAGGGGCCGTTAGATTTCACTCGTCCTCCCAGCCAGCTGGCTGGCGGGGCTGGCTGTCTGGAGGCCGGGGCTGAGCAGAAGTCTGACGCCCCTTCCAGGACCAGCGGCACTGAGAGCTGAGACTGATTAGCGTTTCCTGCCAAAGGCATAGACTTGGAACCAGGGGAGCAGCCATCAGACTTTGCCGTCCAAAGCTTAGGCCCTGTAATGGCATACCTTGAGGTCCCCTTGCGAACGGACAAGCCCTGTGCTTTTCAAAACTGTTGAAATCACTGGGCTCCTTTCTTCAAATGAAATTTCACACGGACACAGATCAAAGCAGGGCTCTTCTGGCCAAAGAGAGGAGAGAGGGCTGGAGCTGCTTCTTCCTCCACCAGGGACAGCTCCTGAGACAACAGCTGGAAAGCCACTGGGGAGGCATATATTAGGAGGAGGCTGGGGAGGCTCTCTGGGAGGATGACATTTGAGGAGTCAAGGTGAGAATGAGGCCAGATAGGGAGGCAGGGTCCACTCAGGTAAGGAGTGTGGGTCTCGTACTGAGTGTGATGGGAGGGTTGTAAGCAGGGGAGAGAATTCTGATCTGATTAAATTTTTTTAAATACTGCTGGCTGCTCTATGGGGGCAAGAACAGAAGGCAGGTTAGGCAGGGACTTGTTACAGCAGCTCACGTGGGACGCTGGACTAAGCTGGGACAGTGAGCATCTGGGAACCTAGAGGCACAGGGACGGTGGTGCATGGGTATGCCTTCTCATCTCTGCATAGAGACCTGAGATCGGGGGTGGGCGCTGAGGGTGAAGGAGGGCTGCTCCCCAGACCTGGGGAGGACCCCTTCAGAACTGTCTTTCCCTTGGGAAACCTGCCCCGGCCCAGCCTGATTGTCTCGTCAGAGGGCTGACACTTAGCATGTACTATGGGCTAGCCTTCCTCCTTTCCCTATGACTGCTGGTTGTGGGAGGGCCCTCCCCGCCCCCTGCTCCGTCCTCAGTCTGGTGCTCCTTTCACTTTACCCTCAACTCTTCATTTATGTATGTATGTCTCATAGCCCTAACAAGATGGTAAGCTTTTAAAAAAAAAAAAAAAGAATTTTTATCTCAGGGCGCCTGGGTGGCTCAGATGGTTAAGCATCTGCCTTCGGCTCAGGTCATGATCCTGGGGTCCTGGGATCGAGCCTCACATCGGGCTCCCTGCTCCTTGGGGAGCCTGCTTCTCCCTCTGTCTCTGCCTCTCTCTGTGTGTCTCTTATGAATAAATAAGATAAAAAATACATTCTTAGAAAAATAATTTTAGATTTATTTCAAGATTTTTAAGAGTGGGGATCATATCTTACTCTCCTTTTTATCTTCCTAGCATCTAGTGTAAACCCAGAAGTCCCATAAATACTGGCTGATGAACTGTTTTGTGTCATGGAGCCACTGTTCTGTGTCACAGGGATTTCCCCCCTCTCCTCCCCACACCAGACCTGACGTCACTTCGGCGGGACGGCCATACGGGGACTATCCCTGCCTCCCTGGCCTGGATTACACCTGCCACCTCTCATAGCCAGGTCTGGAGCTCACGGCAGAGCCTTGCTTCGGGAGGGGAGGTTGGGGAGGGCTTGGGCAGAGCTCTTTTCCCTTAACTGCTAGACTCTGACAGCAGTTAGTCTTGGAGTCTGATTGGAATTAGGTCCAAAGCCCAAGCCATAGGGAGAGTTACTAAGAAGCGGTGACTATGCATTTTTCCTTGGACCCTCACGTAGGTCTCAGTGAGTGCTCGTGGAGAATAACATGACGGATCCTGAACTGGCCACAGAGGCTGCAGCCTGCTGCTGTCCAGGAGCGGAGCACCTCACACTGTACTCTGGGCGAATGAGAGGAGGCCACTGTCCTTCAGCTGAGAGACGGTTTCCACAGAGGCTCCCAGCATCTGTGTTAGCTCCCCCCAGAGAGCTGTGGTGGCGGGAACGGGTGGGGGGCGTTCTGTACCCCACACACCCCAGTTAGTCACCAGCTTACGGGTCTGAGAGTTGAGTTCCTCACCTGAGCAAACTCCGTCAGGCAGGGTCCTCACCCACCTTTGTCGCCCATCATCTCCGCTCTCTGGGACTCTCAGCAAAATCCGCTGGGAGGCGGGTTGTCAGAGGGTGCAGCCAGAGAACAGTGGTAACACGTGTCTGTCAGTCCATTTCTCGGGGATCCACCATGTGCCTGCATAGATCTGTGTGTGTGTCTCTTTTTTTTTTTTTTAAGATTTATTTAAAAGAGGGACAGTGAGCATGAGCAGGGGGAGGGGCAGAGGCAGCAGGAGAGAGAGAATCCCAAGCAGACTCCATGCTGAGCGTGGAACCCCACATGGGGCTTGATCCTAAAACCCCAAGATCACGACCTGAGCCAAAATCAAGAGCCGGCCACTGCACCAACTGAGCCACCCAGGCACCCCTGCCTATTTTATTTCTAATTATTAATACACATTTTCAAGTTTGAATTGATAAGTGTGGAAGTATGTAAATGGATCGGTCCTCTATCGTAACAGAAAACAGCAGCGTTATGTGGAAACTAACAGCACGTGGCCCAACTCTTCCCTCTTAGTCACACACAACTTCCAAACAGGGAGCTTAGATGACTGGCTCAAAGGGCCAGCTTTCCGGAGAGCCCCAGTTTTCCCCCATCGAGGGGGAATATTGACAAAAGCTAACAAACAGAAATTTTACAAGGTTCCAAAGTCACAGGACAACCGTCAGGAAGTTAAGGCAGGAAGATCCCCAATTAATCCCATTAACATAACACAACAAGACGTATGCTATCAACAAGCTGGGCCATTTCCCGTTGGTAATTAGGTCCACATGGACCTCCTCTCTTTTACTCTCAATTAATCAACCCCATCTTTTCTGTCCTGTCCCCTCTACTTGCAGAGCACATCATTAAACTAGTAGAGAGTGAGCTTTTGCAGCTAGGGGCAACTTGGGAAGATCAAAAGTTCTAGAGGTCAACCTTCACCCCCAGAACAAGTCACTGGATTTAATCAGGAGGATAGAGCAGCTTTGGATGGCAAGAAATGTCTCCATTTTTTAAAAGCAAAACGTATTGGAGAGCAAGGAAGCCGTGATCTCTTCATGCTATTTCTCCTCTCTCTGAATATTGCCAGATATCAGTCTCGTTTGCAGGTGGCTCGTACCTGGGTCTTCTCATCTTTCCTACTCAAGAGAATTGAAAATGCTGTCAACCTCACTTCTCTCTGTCTTTTTGTCTCTCTCTCTCTCCCTCCCTCTCCTCCCCGCTCTTCCTCTCCCTCACCCCAACCTGTGTTCCCTCGCTCGCCCTCCAGGAACCTTCTGCATCATTTCACTGTGCACCTGTGTGGCCGGAATCAACTTCGAGCTGTCACGCTACCCGCGCTACCTGTATGGACTCCCCGATGACATCAGCCACGGCTACGGATGGTCCATGTTCTGTGCGTGGGGGGGCCTGGGCCTCACACTCATCTCGGGGTTCTTCTGTACCTTGGCCCCTTCTGTCCAACCTGTCCCGAGGACCAACTGCCCTAAATCCAGACCCGAGAACGGGACAGTGTGCTAAAAAACAAACCCATACCTATATATATATATATATAAATATATATATAATATACATATATAAAACAAAACTAACTCAAGAGGATGCCATCAGGCACCCACATCTCGCTGGACTTTGTGTCACCTCATCACCGGGATGGGGAAAGTATTCCCATCACGTGGCTCTTCCATCCTTTCTTGACTCTTGGCTCCATGGTTTCTTGAAGACAGAGCGAACATCAACCCCCGTGGTAGCGTCCCGAGTCCCGTCCCCCTACAAGGATGGGGTGGTGGGCCAGGAAGGGACATGTCGCCAGGGGTCCGAAGCAGTCCGGATGTAGAGGAGATGCCGTCCATCGGGCCGGCAGGGAGGCACCACCAGCACCGACCGTATCGCAGAGAAACAAAGCCCGTAGTTCATAGAAGGTAACCAGATCTTCGAGGCCATGTGCAAAACCACTTCTCCGGATCTTCCTGTTCGGATTCCCTTCCTGGCCCACCAGCGACACACAAGAAGTGCAAGAGAAAACAGACCGAGAAGGACATTTTCTCTTTGCTGCCAAACTTTTGGACCAAGTTCTAGAGGTGGAAAGGGGCGAGAGCAGCATGCTGAGAGGCAAGGTCCTCGTCAATAAAAGGACACTTCCGTGGATGCTCAGAAAACCCAGTCTTACCCCCAGCTGCCTTACACCAGTCAAACAAGAGGCCGCCCTGCCCCTGCCCCCGACCCCACCTTCCGTCCTGCACGGGCAGACTGGAGCCTTGGAGTAACGCTGTGATGTGTGCGTGTGTGTGTGCGTGTGTGTGTGTGTGTGTGTGTGATGACTTCTGGTGGTTTCCTTTTCTCCTTTGCACCTTTTAAAATGGAAATACTGCATCATGACTGTTGTCTCCATCCTTTGTGGTGGTTTCGCGGCCTGGGGCGGAGGCCCGAGACCGAGGGAGAATAACGAAGGGGCAAGCCAGTGCGGGTGCCCGTTCCATAGTTTCAGATCCCTGGAGTGTGTGTGTGTGGTGGACGTTCTCTGAGTGTGGGGTTTTAGCGTTTGTGTTGCTTTTTTCTATTATTTGTTGTGTGCAGCTGAAATTCCCCGAGGGCAGAACCGAGAACCAACCCACGGGGTCTCAGAGGGCCCTGTGGTCCTTCACGTCACAGTTCTGGGATGCCGCAGGATTTAGTCCTCTAAATCTGGAAGTTCAAGACAAAGCTGGGCACAAAAGCCATGAGAGAAGAGAGGGAGCACGGTTCAGGCGGGAGAAGGAACGTTTCCTCTGTGGCTGTTGTATACAAGTATGTATACCAAACCAAACCAGACCTTCACTCCCCATCATGGAAGCTGTCCTTTGTCACTGGACATCTACCCCTCTCCTAGGGGCGACCTCTGTACAGATGAAAGGAAATGGGTCACGTGCAGAGAGAGCATCTCCATGTCCCATGGGCTCGAGTTTGTATGATATTGTGTAAATTAATGGAGAACTCTTGACTCTTCCCATCTTCTTCCTTTTCCTCTTGATATTCAAGGCCATGCATCCCCAAATAGCCTTCTTAGTGGCTAGCCCCAGACAGGGGTGGCAGAAGTCCCGTCCAGTGTCTCAGGCTCATTTGAGCAAACTGGCCCTGCAGGTGTTGGCGAACCACGAAGCCAGCCAGAGTCATGGAAGCTGTAGGGACGAGCGTCCGCTGGGAAGAGTGGGCAGGAGCAGCTGACAGTCCCCTCGGAGACCCCGTGGGGGCTGTGCAGCCCTGGGGAGGCAAAGAGCGAATCCCCAAGCTGCATAGTCACGGGTCAGCCATGTAGCTGAGCAATCAGTTGCTTCAGAACTAAGTGTGCTTCAGGCACTTTGCCAACAACAACTCAACAGCCTTCCTTTCCTTCCCATGCAAGCACCTGTTTCATCTACCTGTCTTCTGGTCTATCTTCCTATCAGTCCCACCTTTCCTCACCTGCTAACCACCTCTCCCTCTTCTATCCACCAGGCTAAGAGTCCTACCTATCTCCTCATCTGCTGTGTGTGCGTGTGTGCGTGTGTGCGTGTGTGTGTGTGTGTGTGATTCACATCCAGATAGGACATCCCACGTGCATGAATGGCCTGAATGTGGGTCTCTATATATGTGTAGCTCTCCGGTGCATTTTCTGTGTGTTTGTATCAATATAACCTGGACGTGGGTGTGGGTTTACTACTCAAGGCTTCCTTCCCAGCGGTGCTGGTCAGCTTCTTTAGAAGGTGTCCTGTGTGCGTGCCCCTTGTATGGGTGTGCTGAGAGATGAGGGTGGGATACGGAGCAGAAAATGCTATTACCTTCCGATTGGGCTTCTAAGGATTTTTAAAATAAGGGATTTATTCTATGAGAAGAGAAACCATTTTCAGGAAAAGCCAATTTTTCTATTGTATACGAAATTTTAAAACACTTTTTTCTTGAAAGGTTAGATTTCCCCCTTTGAGGCATACAAGGGCTTGAGAAACAGTGAGAAGCATCCCACACTGAGAGGCCTCGTATCTTCCTTCCAAGTGTCTTGAGTGGGCTCTGCCCAGCAGGGAGAGACAGGTGTCCACCAGCATCTGTTTGGGGACAGAGGGCTTGTCTGCGACCAGACCCAAACTCCAGCTGTTTCCCAGCAGGAAAACGGGGAAAGAATTTCTAAAGGGAGCAACTTGCTACCATTCAAACTTTTCTTAAGTAGCCCTGTTTGAAGATACTGCCTCACTGCCCTGTGACTATTTATACCTTCTTTTTTTAATCCCATGCTTGCCATAGATGGGTCAGCCGCTCTTTCCAGCTCCTCATCTTTATGATCGACCCTTAATACTGCTTATTGTGCCCCTTCAAAACCTTCCTGAAATATTAAGGGATGCCTAAGAAAGAAGTCAACCACTTGGCTTACCTCACCATCAGGAGAGCAGGAGCGTTGAGCTACGGCTTTGATAGTGAGGCCGGACAGGAACAGATCCCCTCTGAGGTCCAATTCTGCTTGGGGCCAGTGAAAGGACTGAGCCAGTGGTCAGGATGGAAGCCCCGTACAGAGAGGGCAAGTCCTTGCCCTGGTGAACTCGATTCCTCCAACACAGGGATCCAGGTTAAGACCTTACCCCCGCCTCCCCCCAACCTAAAGCAGTGGCCTGGCTAAGGAAGAAGGAAGGGAGCGGGGAGGGAGAAGGAAGAGGGAGCCTCTGCCAACTTCACCTCAAAGTAGAACCAACCCTTGGATAGGATTTAGGGTTAGCAGCCTCATTAAAGCCCCAGCCCTGACCCCGGGTCAAGTTCAAATTCCTTACAGGTGTGCATGCAAGGTCCCTGATCTTGGATGTATTTTGAGCTCCATGCGAGTCTGCCTTAAGCATGGGGCTCATTTCAGCTTTCATTTCCTTCCTTACCCTGTGAGATTGGGGATTTAGGAAAGTGGAATGTCCACTTGGAAGGAGGTCCTATTTCTTTCTCCCCATTGTGGGAGCTTTGTTTCCTCCACATTTCCTTTTCCTTTCCCTCCACTCATTTCCACCTTCCTTCTGCATTAACTTAAAATAGCTGATCAGTTAAAAGAGTTCAGGCATTTGTCTCCAGAGGGGCTCATCCTCTCTCTCCAGGCAGACCCCTTCCTCATCTGTTATGGCTTGTAGGCTCCAAAAGGAGATCAGTAGCTTCCTGGCATGGAAATATTACAAATAAAAAAATTAAATGTGCCTATTCCAGCTTCAATCCTCCTGAAAGCCTCAGCCTTTGAATAACTACATCCTTTCAGCTTCAGGGATCACAAAGTCAGGAAGACTCACCATCTCCACCAAATCAAGACAGAGCCTTCCTTGATCACCTGTCCATACGCAGCACCCTGAGCCCATTCTGGTATCTTCTCTTGTTGGGGGGCGAGTGGTTCCACCTAACAGTGCTTGCCTCTCTTTTGATGAGGGAAGACACATTATCCTGGAACTCTTGAGTACGGGCCCTACCTCGTAACAGTCATCCACAGTCAAGAGAAGAGGTCTACAGTGAACCAGCATAGTTGCTCTGATTGAATGGGGGATGAGATTAGATCCCTAAAACTGCCCACCTCAGTCAGACTCTGCATAACGAAATCAGGTACCTGGAGGCATTGACTCTGGCTTATTCTGGGAGCGTTAATTAACTGATTTTCAAGCGTCTGAGGGGAAAGAGTGGGAAGATATACACTCTGGTCATCTTTGGTGTGGTCTGTGCGGGTCGCTTGGTTGATTCTCGCGGCTAAAGGGAGGCTGCCTTTCCTGAAAATGTTCCTCCTGCTCAGGGGTCAACCATCCCAGCGGACAAATCAAGCCCTTTGAAGGGAACTATGATGAGTCATAGGGACAGGTGATTCCCCCATAGTTAGAAATTACTGGTGCATCCCAGCTGGCTTGCCTGCTCTGCTGTCTTCTAGGTGGTATCTGAAGGAGTTAAGGGGACAGGCTTTTAAACAAGCCCGCGGGAGTTGATAGACACAAAATCTGGTGTCTCTCAAAGCAGTCAGCTTGGTGGGCTGTATCTGCACTCTTCCCATTGATGCCTCCATGGTGCAAAATGTTTCTTAAACATTATTGTTAGTCCCTAGATGACATTATTATTGGCTATCAGATTACTTTTTCTGAATAATAGAAAACTCTAGAAAATTAGAAAAATAAAGTAAAAAAAAAAAAAAGACAAAAGGATTGTTTATAATTCCATCACTCAGGGGCATCCTGATGGTCAACAGCCCCAGCAACTTCCACAGTTAGTGGTTGTCTTGGGCTGGAAGTCGGGGCTAGGAGTGGAGTCCCAGACCGCAGAACCACACTGGTCTGCATGGACTTGACCATGACCCTGTGTTCATAGCAGAAGGATCACAGGGCTCTGAGCCCCCAAAGACCACAAAGAGACTTTTTGAAAAAGTCCAGTGTCAGAGCATAGGGATGGGCAGAATGGAATGAAGAGATTCCTTGGGATTTTTTTTTTCATTTTCTCCTTTTTTTTTTTTTTGAGTGTTATCTCAATCTAATTATAGGTGTAAGAGCACAGAAGCCAGAGTACCTCACTAACTAAGCTATGCTCTATAGCACAGCTACTGTAAAGTCCATGTCAGCTCTGCACTAAAATGATTGGTGACTCTGGGTGCTGGGTCTTCTCCATACTTGAACTTCCTCATCCACAAAATGAGGATAGTGAAAACACTTTACCTCATGGTATGTTAAGGGTGACAAAGAAATTGCAAAGTGATTTGCAAACATGATGTGTCACGTGAATTC